ACCCTTTACTACCCTTTCCGGGGACTAATGCGTTCACCACCACACCAGGCGGGTCCTTCATTTCGCCTGCTTCTCAGCTAGTTCCACCGATCAGTGCCATCATCAGGCACCTCTCAACAAGACTGATCTGAGAAGCTCAGATCGATAATGAAACCAGTTAAGCTGAGGCTTGACCCACATGGTGTGACGGTGAAAGCGTTGGCCTCCGAAATGGACAGTAGCGAGTTAGTTACCCATAGCAGACACCAGCGGTCTAGAGTTTTGCAAATATCTCAGCATCATAGTGGTTGTTTCACACATAATACACTGCCGTGCAAAATTGCAATAGGCAGTAAATGAAAAGTTAACATTTGTTGGTAATATTTGGATTTATGCAGTGGTATCGTAGTCCTTGTTGACATGCCTTTGTCTATTCTGCTACGTTAGCAGCAGTGCCACATCAAAATTCATCACTCGCTGCATTAAATCTTTCATAACCCAAGAGCTATGTTGTCTTATTGCCAATGTTAACTGCTACGCGTTTCGTGTTGATTTCTGAGCTAGTTATTTCTATGACTCACCTACATTTTTATATATAGAAATGATTAATTGCCTAAGTTTGAAGATTCCATTCAGGGTAAGATGAGGAATGGCGACTCTTTCTCTGCATCACCTCCTTAAAATAGAACATCATGCTGTCGTTCGAAAAAGTTCACACGCAGTTCACTACACATTCACACACAACTAAACTTTGCAGCCCAACGAACATCAAAGGTAAATCTGGTTAATAAACAACTCAGAATAATGAATCCATTAAAGTGAAAGATAATAGTGGCTGTAGAAAACCTAGCTACGTATGCAGAGTATGCAGACTGGAAAGAGTTGGTGAGAGAAAGACAGAGCCAGGACCTCAATGGTGAGCAGAAAAACCAAATGGGAGCACCCTGAAAGAGTAAACGCGTTTCGATATGGCCTTGAGTCTACAGATTTAAAAAATTGCACGATTTATGGTAGTCGTTAGGGGTGCTCCTGAAGTTCAAACCTGGGCAAATGGTTTGATGCCGCACCCACGTTGATCATAACTGACACCTCTCTAGGGTCGCCAAATTGGAACAAGACCTACTTAGTAAAATAAAAACGCTGAATTAGTTCATCATCAAGCATCACGCACCAAAGTATGAGCCAAATATACCACCGACCACCGCCGTGATGCTAAATGGGAGGTAAAATGCACGGCGTATCTGTAAGGGGTTAATCAACGCCCAACGCCTTATTCTTTTTCCTATGATACAGTGGCCTGTACACCACTTTTCTTAAAGTCATTATTTTCATTTACCTACAGTTTTAAGTTGTAACTCGCATCGGTTTATTTTTCACATTAAACTTGGAGTTCCAAACGTTCAAGTACTAAGTGAATTAGACCAAAATACCCATGTAGCTGTTCACGTGAAAGTAAATATTTTCCACTGAACTATCCGGTATAAATCGTGCGCGATTCTACGCTACTTTCACGGTTACTGTGCCAAGTTGGAGGTTCTTCGAGCGCGGTCACGGGTTAGCCATTGCAGGGCTTCCTAAAGTTGTCACAGCATGCACTGGTTGGATGGATTTTTGTGGCCTTGCCACTGATTAATTTCCAAAGCGAAACCATAATACGAATCCCAGATGGCAGTGTTCAATTCCTTGCCAGACCATCCATTGCAGCTCATAGTTGAGTAACTAGAAACACTGGCTAGTTGGTGAAGCAAGGAAGGAACAATTTTTTTTCACACAATATCCCTTCATTTAATTAACGCCTATTGTAATGTACAAAATTCCTTCGTACTGATGGATGTTTTAAAAATTTACTCTTTTTTATTTTAAAATTCGGCCTTCTACATTTTCGTCTATCGAAGGACGACCAATCGTGAGGATCATGAAGGTGCAGGGCAATGGATTACGGTTGCAAGACAACGAACCGAATTGAAGAAGCACGCACAGCATATAAGGATGTGCCACCGAAGTATCTCAGCATATGAATATTCCAAGTTAAAGCAAGAAGCCGGTGAATGTAGATTGGACGAATTCCATTCCGTAAATGCAAATGAGTAGACTGAAAGTAGGAGTGATAGAGACTAGAGACACAATGGTGATTATGATCTCGGTCATTGGTTTCACGGCATTGAGTAATTATATGTGAGTAACGCGGATTTCGTTATGTCATCGGTTTTCACTTACTGTTTAATCTTTTTTAATGACAGGGTGTTATGTGAAATATAACCATAATGATGCTGAGACGTCTGTCGTGGGACTGAACACGCTGATTCTGGGGACTGACGCGCTTCACTCACTACCGCAGATATTCTCAGATAGACAACCCTCTCCCATGTACTCCGTGCGGCTGTATTCCACCAATTAACTGGCGGGCTTGCAACGAATTAAACGGCTCCGAAGAAGGCGAAACCGCCCAAACGTCAGCTATTATATGTTAACAAACACTATCCTAGCAACCTCGGACTTGATTATTGAAGAAAAATAGCGAGTTATAAAGTACCGTAACTGAGATGGCTAATAGAATGGACCACATACGTTGATTTGAATGCGTGTATTTCCAATCTTTTATTTGGCCTGAAGGAGTATATTTGGTATACCATTTGCATTACTTTGACGGCCTATCCAATTTAAATGCTGTTCCAGGTGCGATCCGCATTGCAACTCTTAATTACTCAGTAATTGACAAAAACTCTTGCCAGAAGGATTTTACTATGTAATTCGCCCGCGGTGAAAAATTGAGTGCAGTCATGAGGCAACACAAAGTGTGGGCATAATAGAGTATGTGCTAGCTGTTAGGGACTATTAATAAGTAATAAGATTCGCTGTACAAGGTCACCAGATATGTACTTAAACTGGCCAAATACAGCTATTATCGGAGTTTCCCTACTCATTATAGGTCTTATGATGTTTGAAAAGTATTGCAAAGCGTTCTTAATCCACGAAATATGGCTGGGTATCCAGATGCTGGCAAAAATTTCTATCATAATTTTGTATAACTGCAATTTCTTCATGTTTAAAACCATTTCAACGAAGACTAGGACACATAGCTCCATCTTTGTTATTTTCTTTCTTCCAACTTGTAGAGCAGTTGGGACATTTCCTCTTGTCAGAGACATCATTAACGATCTCTTGTGCAAGCATCTGTTGATGCTGTAAGCATTTTCTTATACATAACAAAAGAAGAATTGAACAGGACGATTTTTGTGCCTATGAATGCAATGTGGACACCTATGCAACTTCCGTGTTCAAACGATCTTGAGCTGGTGGATCCCGAATCTATTTAACACAATTATAAATGAAGCAATGTAGATTGCGAAGACCCACGACGTGTATCTGCATCTTAGTTCCGTTCAAAGGATGAACTGCTTGTCTCTTCTATAGTATAATAATTTAAACATTTCTTAAACACCTGACTTTATTCAGGCACGTGTTCAAGGCTTTATTGCTTGTGTGTATGTGGATGGTACGATGCACATGAATTAAGCCAGGCGCTTGCAATAACATTACCGAGCAAATGCGGTGATGGAACGTACATGTGAAACAGTTCGGAGTCTCATTCATTAAGAAATCGGGTTAATTTATTTCGTTTTTCACCGATTTCTTTCGGTAATTTATAACCACACTCAGTCCCATGATAGAGTTGGACTTCCACCACAGGCTGTAGAAATAATAGGTTTTATGCAAGAATGTAATACTTGCTGTGTCTTTCGAGCAGAATTGTCAAGGTGGGTCAAGCATGCAGCAGGGTGAACGAAGCCTTTTCTGGTACCCGTTTGAATCAATTTGCAGTATTGGCTGCACAGAATGTGATCAATACTAAACGGTATTTCATTTTGGAGATTTAAATAGTGAATATTAAGAACAACAGCAGCTTTTTCTTGACTAGACAACCAACGGTTTTTCCTAGAGTAGCTTAATTGTGTCTTTTAGAGATCTTGTCTTTTGGAGAATGAGAGAATGCTGATTACGCTGACAAGGCGTTGCGTTGTGTTACGTTACGCCCAACTTTGTCGTAGGCCCGGTTCATGGTGACACTTCTGTATACTAACTGGTACAAACAAAGAAACGAGCTGTCCGATTCCACCTGACACATCCATCAGACTATAAAAGCGCAATAGATTATGGATAACGTGATCATTATCTCTTTAATTTTTTTCTATTCAGTAACTCACGATTGAAATAAAGTAATTCCCATACTAGGCGCCATATCCTGGTTCATATCTATTGGCTGATCAACAAAGCAACCATTACATTATTGGCGTTCTTAAAACGTAATGATCAGGCTCCAGCAAGATACCAGTAACGTTGGAAAACATATGACAACAGAGATTTTCTCTTTAGTACTGTTTGTTAATTTAATAGCGTGCTTAGATTAATATTTAATATGGTTTACAACTACAACCATATTGTCAAACTAAGGCTCGTCATCTAGAACTTATCTATAGACTAACAAAAAGAAAAAAAGCACGAAGATAATCGTGGCACGATACAGCCGAGATCCAGAGACGTTTTTAATCTCCAATTCAATCAAAACCTCTTTGATGATAAAAGCAATAACTTCTAATAGTTTCAGTCTTTCGACACCGTTCTTGCTCATTTGTGAATCATACGAAATCTTCTGCAACTTCTGTCACCACAAAAACTTCTAAATAATTCATATCCACGATATTTCTGGCACGGTGCCCATATTTTGACTGTAGTGGAAACGTAGCTAGTTTAAGCTTACCGTTTACATCCAAAGTTTGTAATTAGTATTAAAATCTTCATGAAAACGGTTACGATCTTCATTATTCTGATAAATCTTAAGCCAAAATATTTTCACATTCTCAGTCTCTTTCTTATTAAGAAGAGGTCAGTGTAACTACAAATTGTCCAGGTTATCTTCTGTGTGTTTCTGGTTTGCTCTCAATAGCTGTAAAGTTTACACATACACGTACATTTACATATACTTTTGGTGCAACGTTCGAAAATCATGCTTTCTTTACAGAATGGAGCAAATAGTCGTGTTCTTCCTTGTATGCACAAGTGTTACGGCGTTTTTGTTTCCCACGGGCGGCGGTGGCGGTGGCGGTGGCGGTGAGACGTGCCATATTTATTTCCGATCGAGTATTAATCACTTTAGAAGTAACAAATAAAGGAGTTTGCTGTTGATCAGCTTTTGAGTGATATACCATGTATTCGATTCCATTCGTATATTCGTAGAAGTCACTGAATGTGTTTATTTGTTCAACATAATGATTTTTGGGTCTCTGGAGATGTATTAAGTTAGTGTTTGCACCCTTCTAAACAGTTCCGAAACCAGTTTTTTAAATCTGGAGAAATGAGGAGCTTCAGCTTCGTTTGCGAAAGGGATTGCATCATGCCCCAATGACCACGTACGCACGTCACGGCACCTCTGACCAGTGTGCGACGTGTGCATCGGTCTGAAGGTATACGATCCAATAGCGTAATTTTAGTCGCGATTCAAAAATGAAGCACACTGGTACTTTTGTGCTCGACGTTTTACACAAAAACGATTCGAACCAGGGGTTTTTCCCTCTTGCAATAAAAAATCATATAAATTAAAATATGGCTGCAAACACTATAAACCGAACCACTGACTTCTTCACACTGGCTTTCCTAGGGTCAAAAAAGATCTAGTCTTTTCTTTTCTAGAATTCTAGAAAAAACTTTTCTAGGATCACTAGGCGTTGTGTTACAGCGAATAGCTAAACGACGACGTTATATGATGGAATTAATAAAGTTATAAATCAAAAAATCTGCGCCAAACAATACTATTCGACGACATTTCATAAAGACTATACTTAACAGAAACAATATGAATCTCAGGCGGATGTGTTCAACCATGCCCTCCATGTCCTCCACCAGCAGCAGTAGCGCCGGCACCAATATGCTCACCAGCGCCAGCTTGTGGTATGTCAAAAATATGTCTGAAAATCTTTATAAAATCTTTTTTTTGCAAAATAGAGATTGGATAGGGCAGTAGCAGTGATGTCCTTCATTATGAGCAACGCCCAACCAACTAGTGGCTGGCTGGACCATGCGGCGGGAATCCACCAAGCTTCTCATTTCTCCGCTCTCCGGAAATAGAGCTACCAGCGTTGTCCGAGACCGGCCCACCATCTGATTCAAGTGAGAGCGTCCTAGCATGGCTATCCTAGGAGTCCAGGAAAAATGGATTCGGCCAGCATTCTAGGACATTCATAATGAAGACCGAAATCATCAAGCAGCAGCTGAAGCCACATGCAAGAAAAGTTCTAATACCTTCGTAAATGACGGATGCAAGGGAACGAATCGAATACGATCGAAGTGCTGGGATCCGCGATGCACGTGAAGTGGGGTCATGTGGAAAAATTACAAGATGATAGAAAAGTATATATTTGTTTAGTAGTTATAACTATGAATAGTTCAAATTAATTAAAATCGAGTTCGAAGGGCTTGTGCTTCCACTGCTCCTTCTTCCCTACGACCATAAGCTTAAAATCTCACAGTAGAAAAAAAAGAAAAACGAGTAAGAAATTTTCTTTTTAATTTTTAATAGAAAAATGTTTGAAATGTTGTGCACGAAGACTTCAGGCATAAGTAAACGGTCTAAAACGATCAATTTATGTCTAGCTCTACTTTTTAATGGTAGGTAGCCTAGCTACGATTCAACCACCAAGGTTGGACCTAATGCAAAAAAATGAACGTCATGAACACATCTAGTGTAAAACAGGAAGAAATAAAGCCTCTAATGGTGCTCAATAAAGTCACTTTGTGAATATTAGGTTACAAAACAAGATAGGAAATGATCTGCAGGAGTCGATTGAGTAACTTGTATTAAGAAATGACGGGATTTGTCACTAACTTTTAATGACTCCAACTCAACAAAACTTCAATAACGGTAATACATTCTCAAAAAAAAGGCTTTAAAAGGCTAATATACTGTTCAGGACGTAAGAAGAGGGAAGCTACCAATATCGTCTCCAACGAAGACAACAGCAAATGTAACAATGAAGACCTACGACTTGTACTGATTAAGGTTAGCAAAATAGGTTACCCAACATCTAGTACAGCATTGCATGCTTTTTTCTGCGAAAGCTTCCAGATCAGCAAGATAGAAAGGTTACAACTCGAAAAATATGATTTGACTTGTCATAGCAACCATAGTTCGGCTTTTTTAAAAATAATCTTAAATAGTGTGATCCTTGAAAAAACCGAGACGCAAACAACGAGTGAGCAATAAACGATTCTGGGCAATCCTTCATAGATGTGCTATAAATTCGAATCCATTTACAACTTCTTGTAGGTGACTGGATCATAATTGGGCTGTACAATAACTTTTGAAGGCGTACCGGTGTATAACTTTTTAAGTTTTCTTTTTCTCCCAGCATACTGCCTACTCGGATAGATGGAGGGCTTTGTTGGTCCAAGGCGCGGAATCGAACCAGCAACTATGTGTATCGCAAAGCACTTCCACCTTCTGCGCTACCTGAGTCACTATTTCAATATTATAAAGAAAGAACTTGACCATAAAATTCCATAAAATAGATTGCGGGCCTCTGGTAGGATATGAAGTAGGCACTTCATCGTTAGAATTTTGCAAAATCTTCTGAGATAGTCATTTCTAAGAGGAAACTTTTTCCCACATTTTTGATTCTACATTTATTTCTAGCGTATTGAGGCGTCATTCAAATTGAGTTAAGGCTGTGAATTCGACATAGACTTTTTTCAGGGCAGTTATCTTATGTGTAATAACACATTAATATCTCTTAACCTTTATACGAACAAAACAAAACATGGGTGTCAATAGCAGTCATCATGAGCATGGTGTTAGTTCGATTCCGCTCCGGGCCAACCGAGCCTCTTATCCCCCACGGTCGGGAAATTGGTGTCGGGACTTGTATGGGGAAAAATCGCTCTCAGCCATTCAGTTGGGAGCGCTGCAGACCGGTCATCTAAGGACTCCGAGGAGAATTGCTCGATCAACATTCTACAACATTCAAGATGAAGTGGAAATCCTTAAGCAGCAAACGAAGCTACACATAAAGCTGGAAGATCTTCGTGGATGATAGATGCGAGGGAAAGAATTGAACGTGATAAGTGCTGGGATCCACACAGTGGACGTGAAAACGGATCAAATTTTAAAAAATAGAAAAAACAAGCAAAACCGAAACAAAACAAGACGGTTAGGTCAAATTTTTTTGTTTACGTTCTAATACAGGAGAAAAAAAAATTCAGTGGCGAAGTATTCGGTTAATTAATTCTGCTTGATTCTTCAGAGTATCAAGAGCGACGTCACCACTAGTTTGAAGGCCATCAGCGAAAACCTCAAGGAACATCAAGATTATACAGTGCTCTGTGATGATAAGGTTACCTTTTTTGTTTTTTTCCTCACCAAAGATTCGAACTCAATAGAGCGTCATGTTTTCCGTAATTGCACAACTTCCTGCAAAGAGTATAGCGATCACCGACCATATCTGACATATAATTTTCATTGGTCTCCAAAGAAACTTCTCCTTGTCTCATAGTTATTTAAAACTTAGTTCCTATTTCTTTTAGCAGGAATCTTTAAACATTATCTTCAAACGGTGTCGCTGTATCCTAAAGTTGTTCGGAGGTGATCGCGTTCAGTAAAGGAACAGATATTGTAAATCTTGGTCCAATTAAAAGAAAACAGAAAAAGTTAATAGAAAGGCGGTCGTGGGAGTTTAAAACGAAACAGTTTCTCGATTAGAAAATAAGGACGTCGAAACTTATCTATGAATCAATGAACTCTTATCTTTATGACATTGTTGAATACATAGCTTGATTACTGACTTCTTGGATGGGCTTAGATAAATTCAAAAAAAATATGATGAAAGCAAAAGGTTTAAGAATAAAACGTTAAGAGGTAGCCGATCTCTTAAACTATGTCGTGCATTCGATTCCATTCCCAGCATAGTAGAGGTGATTGGATGCATATCTGACCTACACAGTGATTTGCCTATGTTTGCCGATATATCGAAGCAGTATTTTTTCCATCCCACACAGGCCTGGTAGCAATTTATCCAACCTACTGGTTAATTTCCTAGAGCGCAAAACAGGATCCACGACTTTACTAACGTTCATTGCCGGGTATCCCCGCCCATTATTGAAAGCAAATGCAGTAGGTCAGGTCACAATATGAATCGACTATTTAGTGCAGAGCACTTGAAGGACATGCAAACATTTTTTCCGTGTGCAATTTGCAGTGGGTGCCTTCAACCACCATTTTCTTGAGTGATTCCGAGAATTTCTCTCTTCTTTTTTACTGCACTGAGAATTTCATACAAAACTTTAAGTTAAATTTTTAGCAATTCTGGTAAATTGTCTATGATCTTTACTAATTCGTTATGAGTTAACATTTTAGAAATTACAATACGTTGTTGAAGCTGACGATTACTGTCAACTGCATGTCACCGATGTGCATTGTGCAATTTTCCGTACCAGCGTAAAAAATACGGTAAGTGATGCGGTAATTGGTTGAAACAATGACAGTTGACGAACCATTAACGAAACATGTATTTTTACAAACGCAGATGCATATAGATAGAAATAGATGCAAGAATTGATGAGAATGCCACATATATTTTTATAGAATGCCACATCAAGATATTATTTTATTCTTTATTCAAGAACAAGCTGACGTTTCGCGCCTTCCTCAGAGCCTAGAAAGGTCGAGTTGACAGCAATCACAGTGATCATACAATAGTACCCCCCGATGATGTATTCAAAGGGTATGACTGAGAAGAATGTTTTCTAGAGAGACGCACACGAGGGGAACGATGATGCAAATGTTGCGAAAAAAACGGAATTCGCTGCTAACGAAGACAGAAAGAAGGAAGAACACAAAGGTAAAATCAGGAAGGACTAGCTCGTCGGTTTCATCGTCGCACTCCATTAAATTGACTATTCTTCACTATTTATTGTCCATCGAATAAAGTTGAGTATAAAAAAGGTGTTGAAGCTGTTGCTGCATGAAATGCGAGCTACTTGAAAAAGAAGAAGATAGGGAAAGGTGTTTTATGATCTTCGAAATATCGGTATTTTATCGCTATAAAGCGAGAGAACTTGTGTACTGTTGGCAAAGATTGATTTTATTGATATGGATTCTAACGGTTTTTAATCAATGAAGAAAGATCACTACGAACCGAGATCACCTGTATCGCCTGCCGCCCTCTTCACCATCGAGTGATTCGAGTGGGTGGGTGCCAGTAAATTTCCCATTTTTCCCTATTGCGTCTAAGAGTGGCCCAGTAGCTTCTGTCCTCTGTAAGAACACGTTGAGCATGATGTTTTTTTTCTAGGGTTTTCGTGATGATCTCTGACCAACGGGTCGGTGGTCTAAATGCAGTACGTATGACATCCCGTGGAATCCAGTCACTAACGGCTCTTGTATGGCAGCCGTCGTTCATTCGCAATACATGTTCTACCGACCTTATCTTCGAGAACTTAGCATATTAAACAGCACCTTTGATATTCGACCGTTGATGGAGGTTGGAGCTTCGGATTCCTCCTTTCTCATTTGTGACACGGAATACTTCTAGAATCATCCTTCACTGCCAATTCAATAACTCTGAGTGACCTTTCACCGTGCTTACGCAGCGACCAGGTCCTGACCAGTCGAAATGATGGGCACAGTGTGTGAACTTCCTTGTTCTGTTCACTACATCCTCGATGCTCTCGAAAGTTCTCCAAGCCGCTCGTTTCTTTCTGCTCAGCTTTGAAGGTAAGTCATGTTGACTTCCCGAAATAAATAGACTTAACAGGAGCTTCGGAGACATTTATTCCGTTGAGCGTGAATGGGGTATACGTAACCAATCCGTGCCTCATGGACATATTTTTTGTGAGATTTAGTCGAAGACAAATCGCAGATGAGCGATTGCTGATGGCAGCGTTGAGTAGAAAACTAGATGAGAGAAACACAGAGCAATAGTCTTCGTAGCGCAGTGAGTAGTGCACGATCCACTGGTAAGTGAAATCATGGTTCGATATGGCCTGGGGTGCAAGTTTTGCGAATATCTCGACATCAGTGTAGTTGAAGACTATTCTTTCCACAGGCTTTATCAAAATCGCCAACCATTCGCTCCTAATGTTTGGTGTTGTAACGACAATATCATCAGCAAAGCGAAGATGTTGTAATTACCGACCATCGATTTTCACTCCCATATTACCCCATTCCAATGTTCGCATGACATTCTGGAGCGTGGTGGTAAATAATTTTGGCGAGATGTATCGCCTTGCCTAACTCCTGATTTGAAGTCGACGTTAATATCGTTATAGAATGATGATATTTTGGTTTTTTTATTTTTTTTATTTTTTTTTTAAATTCTTGTATGGCTCACGAAGAATCTTTATATGCCGAGTATAGGGACTCATTGACTCTATCAAGGGCTTCCATGACTGCTTCTATCTCAGTTGAATCAAAGGCCGTCTGTAAATCGATGAAAGTGAGACAGAGCGCTCTTTCATACTCTCGCGATACTTCAATGAGCCGTGTTACCGTGTGGATGTGGTCTATTGTACCAAATTCTTTTCGAAACCCTGCTTGCTCATATGGCTGTCCTTTGTCCGGTGTTCTGTCAATCCTGTTTAGGATGACTCGAGTGAAAAGTTTGTAGACGACAGACAGCAAGCAGATTGGGTGATCATTCGTGAACAATAACACGGTCTTGCTGGTCTTCCACTAAGTAGGCACCTTGCGTTCTGACTGGTAACGTGTGAAGAGCCGAGCCAGTGCGTTTGGAGGAGTGGCGGAATGTTCTTAAGTTGTTCAGATCTCATCCTGTCCTAACCTGGCTGTTCGATTTTTCACCAACGAAGTAGTATGTTGGATTTTGAAACGGAAAATCGGTGGTGCTACATATCCATCCTCCTTTATGTTATTTGAGGGCAGGAAGACGTCCCTACTGAAGAGATCTGGATAAGAATCGTGGACGAGCTTCTCCATTGTCTTTCTGGTAGCTGTAGCTGTTGCGTCTGTGCGGAAGTTTGCAATGAAACCGAGATAAGACTGTACAAATTAGATATCAATCAAACTTTGATCATGATGATGTCCCTGATACCATGCTGAAATACGAGCTGTGGTTGCCATATTGCTAAAGATCAGATTCTAACTTTTTACCTCTTCTAGGAGGATGTTATGTATGTTAAACTGGTTGCAAACCAAAGGCATTCTGGAGTTCAATTAAGCCTTTTCACAAAGGTAAAGTAATCAACAATTTTTATAATGTTGAGCATACACGAGGTTGAGATATGAGATGTTTATTCAACTAACGTTTCGCTGTCTTCGTCTTCATCTGAGCCGACAATCCTTGTCGATGGTCCACAGTTGTTCCTCTTCTCGATGTGGCACCCTCGTCTCGCATCGAGCCGGATCTTTCTCAGCTGAGCATCTCGAATGAACCATACTCACCCGGCGACACTCTTTTATACAAAGCGATTGTTGTTGATATAATTATCAGCTGGTGATAATTTGTTTACCAACAGATAATATACCCTGCAACAGTCGGCATTTTGCTAGCTAGCACATTGCTATACGCAAAACAATAATTTTGAAATCGACCGTCATTTAACCTCGGTGATATAATAGTCAACAATCATTTTAAAGGTAAAATAGTTATAATGGAGAACTTCAAGAAGGAAATCGAAGCAATAACATGAAGGCGAAGCTGAAATTCTCCGCGGGTCACATTATTCTTCGCAGAAAAGGTCATTGAGTTGTTTCTTAAGTAGTTGTTACAGTAGTTAAGACTGTAAATATCTCAGAAATTTCTATGCATGGCCGCAATTCATAGTTTTTTAAAGAATTCTAAGCCATTAATTTATGAACTGAAGAAGACATACAAATATGTAAATAACGGCAGCCCTTGAAATGGATAACACATCTGAGTTTTTGAAGACCACTTTTAGTACATTTCTATAGAAACGTTGTAGACACTTGCCATTATGTAGGCGCTGGTGTTAAACTGGTTAGGATCAGAGCTAACAGCTAATAGTTAAGTGCCTAACAAAAAGCTAGTAGTGTCCATCTACTGAACGGGCCCAACAATGAGATGGACGTAAAGTGTTGTCGTTAGCGACTCACTATATAAGACAAATCTCACCCAGTTCTATGTTCTACGGCGCTTCTTCGTTACGAATCGATCGCAAACACAACTCAGCGAGATCGTCTTCGCAGCAAGAAAGTCTTCTTCTTAGCTAGTTTTAACTTTTTCCTGAAATTAGCATCTTTCTTTGTGATAACTGAATTCCACTATTGCCGTGTAAGGCATGAAATATTTTGTTATACACTTTGCGTGTTGTAGGCACGACGGCCTCCTTCTTCCGAAAAAAACAAGGAACACGAAACTTTTTTATCTACCTAATTGTTTTGAATAGATGTATACAAAAAGGATCTGAGGGGAAAATTTCATCGAAAATGATTTAGTATGAAAGGGATCCTAACTGCACTAGTCGCGCTCACGTCTGCATCAGCGTTTATCCTCTCAAGAACTAGCAAAGTTGGTGAAGAATGTAAGTGACTCATTCCACTTACCTTATTTTTCTTTCCAATAATGTTGACAGTCCAGCAAGAACTAATTTAGCAGGGCAAATTGATTCTCTATTTCATGTTGTCGGCCCGAGTTTTCTTCCTGTCTACCACCAGGTATGCGAGAGTAACATGTATCTGTCGTTCATAGACGGAACCAAAAGATCCTCCGAAAATACGACTTGTAACAACTGTAATCATTACATTTGTAGATGGGTGTGAAATTTTAGACTGGTGTTGTCGGTTGTGATTTAGCCACTTTTTCAGTGGGTTTTTCATGGGATGACTCCACAAAATCTCCCGCGAACGTGGACACTATTAGAAAATTGGTCACATATTGATGATTGGGTAAGAATTTATCCCGAAGTCTGAAATAGTCGCGCCAAGACCTTTAGAGTGCAATAGGCAGCCGTCGGGCGCTATAGAGCATATGTGGGTAAGCCGTTTTCGACCAGATTGCTTCAAGAAGATCTTCAGCATTGGCTTACTTTCAACAAGGATTCTCTACCGTAAAGTGCTAAGCAACCTAACCAAACGTATTAATGTATGAAAAAACACTTTGAAGTAATAACTTTTTTAAAACCTCAGATGAAGCTATAAGTGATCATCGGCCTTGCAGATTCTTTATGGAAAGATCCTAGATTTTACCTGTAAAGTAAACGAAAATTTAATGGTGCTTTGGATTATCGAACGAATAACTGATCGAAAAAATTCTGAAGGTTTCTTTAAGGTGGAAGCGATGTTGAATGCGAACGTAAGAAACGTGAAGCATCGATGGTTGTCATTAAAGAGGATATCGAAAGGTGCAATAGCGATGAGTTACGACAGCTTTTGCTCAAGGTATTATAGAATCCACCCCATACGGCATTTTCTGCCAGTTTCCACGTCTTTGCCTTGACTGTAAGGCAGTTCTTCAAAAATCACGGGTATTCTTTAAGACATAAGGCTAAGATATTTACGCCATTCTCAAACACCGACACTGCCATAATAAACACCGTCAAAAAACAAGTGAAAAGCTGTTCGTACTAACTGAATTCTCACACGAGTTTCTTTTCTATCACAAAAGAAGTTTAGTGGGTGATCTAAGTGCAGCATTCTCGTATGAAATGCTGAGATATTTGCAAAACTCCGGATCACAGATGTATGCAATGGAGAACGAACACGCGCTGTTGTCCTTACCGGGGAGCAGCGCACTTCACCACTACACTATCCGGGAAAGCATTGCTGCCAGTTCAACTACAAGACCCGTGTTCGTTTTCCATTGCATACACCTGTGATCCGGAGTTTTGCAAATATCTCAGCATTTCATACGAGTTATATTTCGCAACATACCCTGCCATTAAGAAGAAAAAGGCAGTAAATAAAAGAGTTAAGATTGCAGCATTCTTTTGAAATAAAAGTTCTTTCCCTCAGTTGTGTTAAGTAAACTGTTCCTCTACATTCTTTGAGCAGTTTTGCTTCTTAGACAGTTATATTTCTCCTCTCAGAGTGTGAAGTCCAACGTAACTCAAAGTCTGGACTCAATCCAGAAAAGCTTGATGAAAATCACTGACACAATGGAGAGCGCCGATCACGTTACGATCTGCAGTGATAAGGCGAGTTGGTCAATTAAGTGAACGAGTTTGAAGAGATATTTGATTGACCGTAGTACTGCGAAAAAGATTTATCAGTTTAATATCTGTGTGTGTAATTTATTCATTAATTACAGTTCCGATTTGATAATAATAGAAATAATTTTATATGCTTTTCGTACAGTTTCTCCGTTCTTGAAAAAATGTCGACCACGCCTCCACACCGTTTCAGCCGATCTCACATGAAATACACTTTAAGCAGTACTGTACACTGGCAGTGGAAGCAGTACATTGTGGAATTTTTCGCTTTTCAACAAGAGATGAAGTGAGTTTGTTTTTTGATAACATAATAAATCGATTCAAATCGGTTCATCCGTTGGTGGCGTAGTCCTGAATGACAGGCACATGAAGTTCATCACTTTTCATTGCAGTACCAGTTTGTTCACTTTTGTTTTTTGTGAGAACAACGAAATTATGACGAACAGCAAAAAGTGGAGAAAATTTTAGAAAACGACGGAGAACCTCAAAGCGAAAGATACTGAGAGCGAATCGGTGGAGGAGGAAGATACCACAGAGGTGATAGTTAGGAAAGCTGATTGATGTCATGGAACATTTACGGATTTTGATATAACATAGAATAAAATGTTTTTCTCTTCCGTTGCTATGGACTATATGAAGTACATGCAATTTAATAGGCTATAAGTTCTTCTTATTTCTTTTCTAACAAATTTCAAAACAACAAAAAAAGATTGTGTCAGCAGCAAACATGCAGAGATGGAGCGGGATGAGAGAAAGAGAGAGAGAGAGGGAAGACAGAAGAAGACTTAAAAAGATGGAGATTAATGTATAAGATAGAGACCGAATTTACCTTCAATGGAGTAAAGTCTGTATAGTGAACTTTACTGTGTGACGGCAATAAGTTCTTTATGCCATAACGCACAGCAAAATCATTGACTACAATGTAGGCTAAAGACGAACAGTTGTGCGCTAATAAATCCATGGAATGTGCCATGCATTCCACTCGATTCGTAGCACATTAAAAAGATTGAATCCATATATGGCCTTTGAAATGACTATTAGAGACTTGCCGATGCATAAATTTAGTGTCGTTTTCCCCTCCAGATAAGTGGCGCTACTAATTTCCCAATCGTACGTGGGGCTTCCCGAACAAGGGGCGCGGTATTGAACTAACGATCATGTGTGCATTGCAACCTCTAGACACAGTGCTACACTCAATTCGGTGAAATCTAGATGTCAACGGCAGAAGTGCGCACTGCTTTATTCGACGTGGGTATCCCAACTTCACGCAAAGACAGAGAGCCGTATGTCTTAAGGTACTATAGTTCGCTGGACGCTGTGGAATACGAGAAAATGCGGAAAATTGGGAGAAACGGAGACATCGCGAGTCCGAACGATCAGCAGCTGAATATAATGCGTCTGCGGAATTGATCCATGAGATGTGAATGGACCTCTAAAGCTCGATAATCGACGGTGGTAAAAAGTGTGAGTGAATAATGGCTCTCATGTAAAGCGATTGTGCCGTTTATGAGAGAACTCACATGAATTTCACAGAGATGGAAAAATATTCGCCTCTATGGATTGTATACCAAGCTTATTCCGTCTTTCGTGATTTTATTAGAAGCTATTAATTTTACAAATGCATTTTCAAATCATTTGCGATCAGTTCCCATCCTTGACAATGTTGCAATTTTAACCATTTTATTTACTGCCTTTTTCTTCTTAATGGTAGGATATGTTGCGAAATATAATTCGTATGAAATGCTGAGATATTTGCAAAACCCCGGACCGCAGGTGTATGCAGTGGGGAACGAACACGCGCTGTTGTCCTTACCGGGGAGCAGCGCACCTCACCATCACACCATCCGGGTCCTTCGTCTTGCCTGTCTCTCAGCCAGTTCTATCGATCTTTTTGCCATCAGCAATCACCCGTCAAATGTTGCAATCGTTTTGTTGTTTCAGTTTATCAAGAAACTTTAACCCGCATGTCTGTGTCAGGATCACGGGGATTAGTTGGATAAAAGGTGCGGCGTTCATATGTTTGCAAGGTCTTTTTTAAATCATTTGAGCTTAGGCGAATCATGCGCCTTGGGGCATGATTCATTTCATGGCAAGAAAATAAGAACTAGCTGGTATGTGACAGCAAGATGTGCAAGCTCACGTAGCATGATTTACGAGACCCCAACGGAAGAAAATCTTCCACATCCAGCAAGATCACGCTTATTTTCATGGCAGCATCAGAAACGATCGAACTCGTCTGCTGTTTAGAGACGGTAGTGCAGGCATTTCTGCAATAAACGATAAAATTTCGTTACCAGGGATTAATGAGCTTGACATCGCATATCGCAGAAGTAACGATGAAGCTCTTTCGCATCCATCTAAAGGTGTTATATTGGTACTATGTGCTGATTCTTAGCACGGCTCTTTAGTTATTGTTGTACAAACTTCGGAGGTGTTTTACAACTTTTACTGAGCCTATCTCAGTTTATATTCTATCAACCGTCTCATATGATAAAGAGAATCCATAATCCCTATAACACTGAGGTTGGCCGATTTGCGCTACGCAAATTACACTCATTGATGGGTGATTGTTGACGGCACCGTTTGGGTAAAAGCTGATTGAAAGGCAGAGCAAGAGCCTTGGTGTTGCAGTGGGTTACAAGTGAACTGGAAATGGAACGAATTGCTACTCAAAAATTGATCTTTGTATTGTCTTAATAAAAAATGACGGAGGCTTTTTGAAACTCTCTCGATAAGTAGTAAAAGTTTTCACAAATTGTGGAGTTGAAACTGTCGCAGAAAAAGCATTGATCTAAGATTCTAAAATGCTCGTTCACTTCCATTACCAGAGCAGTGTACAAGAATACCATTAGCAGCAGAACGATTTTTCAACCGCCATTCCTCTGATTGTAGTGAGCGTTATTAGGTTATATATTATAAGATCTAGGAACCAGCATTTTCGTTCCACAACGATGAAAGTGGGCACTTATAGCGACGTGGTTAGAGGCGCTGTGCAATACACATGGGTTTGATCCCATGCCTCAAGAGCATTATGCCTTCCATTCCTCCGTGGTCAGCAAATCGGTACCACCAAACCTATCTCCGAAGATGGCAGCACTAACTCGATACATCAGTTTGCCACCTCGAATCACTGTAAACGCTATATATCATTCAATAACACGATGCATAATGAAGTCAAGTGCATGGCCCATCCTTCAGAGATTGATCAACGTTGGCAGCACCTTTTTTTATCCTCTATCGTATGAAGTGGTTGGACAAAAGATTTACCGATATAGGCCAAGTATAAGTTGTAGAACACTTTCACCTGTTCACTGCGGTAGCTGATGCACCGTACTAGGGTGTAATATTTAATAGCTATATTAGCCTCCAGATGGATCCAACAAAGCGTCTTCATCGTCTCTGTAATATGTGATATCAAGCCGAGTAGTTCTCGATTCATCAGAAACTCGTCGCGTTATGCCTAAAAACCAGCATTTTCGCTTGTAAATAGCAGACGAGTTCTATTGCTTTTGAAGTTGCCACGAAAATACGAGATTTTGCTGGTTGGCGGAGAATTCCTTCCACTGGTTTCTCGAAAATCGTGCTGCGTGGGCTTTTACTTGTCGTTATTACTTCCTAGCTAGTGACTATTTTGTTGGGATGCATCGAATCATGGCGCTATTACAGGGCAACCGGATGAAAGTCTCGAACTGGTTTCCACTCAGGAAACTGCTAGGAGATTGATTCTCGCCGCATATTGCAGTGCGAAACCATTCCCTAGGTGATGCGTGAGCACTACGGCAAGGAGATAAATCATTGTAGGGAATGAACTCTAGTAGTGGTTAAAAATAATTCTATTTCTTACCAAAAAACCAATACTTTTTGAAAAGTTCAATTGTAAAACAGCAAAACCTCTCCATGCTACAAAAATGACGATGTGTAGAAAGCAAAGAACCAGTAGCGAACTCGAAGAAGTCCTGCACCCTCATTTCAGCGATGGAGATGGGAGCACTGTCTTGGAGCATATGATCATTAGTGGATAATAACTTAAACTGAATGTTGGTCTACTTCCTTTCTTTTGCTCATTTTTACGATCTAGAGGTGGACCACCTTTTGTAGTGGTCTACAATAAGACCGAATATAGTGCACTTAAGGACGACTGATGAATGATGGGTAGGGCAGTGGTAGAGATGCCGTTCAATAATGAGCGGTTCAACTCCGCATCTAGTCAGTAGGCCTCCCATCCCTTCGCAGATGCCAAGGTGGTACCAAACTGTCTGAGAATCTTTCTCTGGTAGAGGGCTCTGTTGACGAAAACTTCGGAAAAAATATTACAGCGATCCAGAGATATAGTCGACAAGCACTGAGCTGTATTCATGGTGAAGACAAATCTCTAAAGAAATACCCGGAAACTCTAACCTGTGGACCTTCTTGGGAAAAGCAGACTTGTCATAACAGAAAACTGTGATGTCGGCCTTTATTTCTCAAAAAGGACACTCTTTCTGGAAAGACCTTTCACAAATTTGTTTTTACTCCTTTGATTACTATACCCATCGAACATACTAGGATGCTGGAAATGGACGCCTGACCGCCGTAAATGACAATTTCGGAATACCCGCCTCGAGACGAAGAGCTGTTCATCACAGTCTGCCCGAAGTTCTTGTATCGTCTTTCTCTATGGACCAACTTTCTAATCAATCACAATGCTAATGAAAGCTTGTTATGTTCTAATGCACACAACAGTGGATGTATTTGGGAAAAACCGAAAGTTCAAAAAGTGCGCTGTATTGATTACTGTTGCAAAGCACGGTTTTATTGACTGGAAACAGTACCCGCCCGAATCAGTTCACGATAGAAAGGTATGTTTTGATTTTTTGTCGAAGCAGCAATATTATGCTATTTTCGGAAAGAGCAGTGTGAATAAAAGAACCTGGTTTTGAAATGCTATGGAAGGAATGTTGTGCGATTTTTTCAGAAGCAATTTGTCCCATCCATGGTAGAGTCGCACGCTTTTATTGCGGAAGCACTAGCAAATTTACTGCCACGGCGGTTTTGGCAGTGGAGAGCGGATACCTGCCGAGATCACGATTACTTTTTCGGTAAAAACAGTAAAAGTATATGAATGGGAGCAAAAAATTGAAGCTCTTCTCAGGCTTGGTAGGATACCGAGCCACGTTGGGAACAATTGAAGTTTGGTGCAGTTCGTCGAGCTACTCGATGATTACCGGAGCCACAGGTGGTGCAGATGATATTATCTTGTATACAAGTTGTTCAACATGTTATACATGAACTGTACGGATTCATACAGCATTGCTTACCATCTGAAAGCATTTTATTGTAAAGTAAAGCCATAAATTAAATACTTGAATACTCAGACGTCCATGCTATGCAGGTCTCACTCTTCTATTCGCTCCATGGTTTTCTGTCCCCACCCATGGAGATCGTCATATGCGAGCGTTGATTCAGGCGAACCCGGAAATCTGTGAAATCTTGAATGCTACTCGACCGAGATCTTCACTGGGAATTTGAGATGATCGAGCTACGGCGTTTTCTGGTATTGACTACCGACATCCAGCCGCCCA